AGAAGAACAGCAAATGAACTCCAGGACAACAACCGAAGGATGAAAGTAGAAAGGTTCTGCAGCCTACTTTCAGCAAACCTCACATCTATATTTGTTTCAGGAAGACAGATCTAGGTTTCAGGGGGGAAAGTTACTTATCGTCCTTGACACAAGTCTACCAGACTTGCTTAGCAATCAGACAAGGTTTATAATTGCTTCTCCGAACCTTCCTGGTATGCCACAAATTTCAGCCTTCTGCAGCACACTGATTTCTGAACAAAGGGTTCTGTTCCATCAATGCCCCATTAAATTAACCTTAGATGGCTGATGGCACCATGTTCCATTCACATCCAGTGAGGCCATGAGTTAATGAATCAACCCCCTGAAAGCAAGATGCACTCTTTTTAAATTATGTTTTAGCTTGTAGGGGATATCAAGTTCTTGAAGTGTGACTGTTGTCCTGTCATACGTGAACGTAGTTAACAGATATTCACTGAGGGCCCACCCTATACCAGACTAGGTCCCTGCTCTCAAGGCTTTACAATGCACTTAAGGGATGCAGATGTTTGCATATAAACTAAAAATTATCTTGAGTGAGTTATTAAGGATGTAGCAGGCATGCTAATAGGAAGGAGCTATGGTGGTAAGGCAAGGCTGGTTATTTTAGCTAACGCAAGAAAAGAGTAAGAAGTGTTCTTCTAGGAGGTGATCCTGACCTAAGATTTGGATAAAGGCACAGACCTCTATGAACAGGAACAGGTGTCAGTCATTGCAGGCAGAGAACAATTTGTACAAAGGCCCTGAGGTAGGAATCCCAGTGCTAAATTTGACAAAAGCCAGCTATTTGAGAAGGCAACTCACTGGTGGCAGAAAAGTAGGCAGGACCCAACATTGAATGTGAAGAAATCACTTTGGGTCACACTAATGTGAATAAGCAAACAAACAGGAAGTAGAAACAGATGTTCCAGACAGTTTGGCATGAAGTGCTGAGCCCAACAGATGTTTCAGAGAGCAGGAACATTTAGATGGTAGAGATTGGAACAGGGGCTCAAACTTAAAAGACTTTGGGAACTAGCACTGTTTATACTGGTCTCTGGGTCTGCATTTGTGGGAATTACTTTAATGCTCAGGGTGAGGAAACCCTGTAAAGACACATGTGAATCTAAGTAAGAGAGAATCGTGGGAGCTCTATTGACCTACAGCACGAGTTACATGCTTAACAGTGTTCAGTCTCATTAGAAAGCACTTTTCAGACAAAAATGAAGCACATCATTAAAAAGTACTTGGCAGGGAATGGCAGAACACATGTGAGGAAGCAAGCAAAGCTTACAGATCATCAATATGCAATGCTGAGCTAGAAAAAAAGGCAGGAAAAGGCTGGAAATGATGAAAAATTGAGAGAATACAGTCTCATAAAAGTCAAGAAAGAGTTACATCTTGAATTTCTAAGAACTAAACAAAGAATGCTTTGTTGGGCAGCTGCCCAAGTGCCATAATACTAACAAGAGAAAAGCATCATCTTTTTACAGAGCTCACAGATTCAACAAGTAGAAATACATGGGAGAATGGGCCAGATATGAAGAGGCAGGAAGTGCAACCATGTGGTCTATGCAGTGACCACACAGACTTCTGAACTATCATGACCTGAAGGGATCTGAGGATGGAATTCTCTTCCTTTCACACAAAGGTAATTCTAAGTGTTAGAAGCCTTTTTCCTAAATGTGATTTATCCTTTTGACATCTGTTTCTTTGGAGCCCAATATTCCTAGATTTCTGTTTAGAAGCCACACAGAACATATTAATGGCACATAGAACATGTTTAATGTCCTTTCAAAAATTTTTCTAGAATGTTAGAAACTGTGTTTATGTCATCCTCTATCTATACATACTATGTTTCCCTTTATAAGTATCTTTGTCCTGCAATCTTCATCCCCTTTTTTCTATTTCCAGAACTTGACTTCCTGTATATCTTATGTGAATCTTCTCCAGTTATGACTATTCATCTTAAAACCATGCTTACAAATAATGTAACCTTGTGGCAAATTTAACCTAGGACTTCTTTCAGTACCACGTTGTAAGACTGCAGTAGTAGGAGTGCAATTACATTTACCGAGCTTGGTCTCTTGCTGTTTCTATTTGCCACACATCTTCCTCCAAGGCAGCCTATTTGTTGTGTCATAAAGAGATACATAATCCACAGTGAGTGATTTCATCAGTGTAAAGAATGTCATCCCTCATCACCCTATCATTTCTGATTAAGATCACTCAGTCTAATGTACATTACATCTTGTACCACTAATGTCTGCATGATGCCTCTTTCTGGACACTACCTTATTACATACTCAAACGAGAGAAGCTTCTCAAACAAAGAAGATTAAGCTGAGGCTGAGAACCTAAAGCCAGAGAGAAAATTGGAAACATGATGTTTTAGTCACTCTGGAAAATAGTGCTAAATGAGGACATTCAATAGCATAGCTTGAAATCTAGATTACCCATCACTTATCCTCTGTATATGTTCAAAGGCAAAATTAGCAATAACAACAACAATAATGAATAGAAATCTACTAATAACTGTTTAGTATGCACCGATCCTCAGGATCTGCTTTTAGGAGCTGTACTTCAAGCTTTAGAGTGATAAGCATCAACTATTTTAAAGATAAGAAAATTAAGACACAGAAGCCAAATGAGTTTATTGACTGTCACTAAGTTGCAATGAACTCGAATCTGTTCTTCAATCTCTTTCTAGTCTCATATTACTATCTCTGAAAAGCGTACTATAAGCTAATATTGACTGAAAAATTGTTCTTATGACAATTACTTCTTCATATAGTGGGAATATACAGGATGTAGTAACACATTATTGCTTTATCTGGGAGTCTAGATATGCCACTAGAACATGCTAGAAGAGCGAGAGAGCACTAGATAAGAGGCCAGAACTGTGCAATACCAGCCATTGTGTCTTGAATGGAACTGAAATGTGTCCACACAGATTCTGTCAACAACACATTTGGAACATAAACAAGACTCAAGATGACTGACCAGCCTAAGAAAACAGTGTTTTCAAGCCCTTCGCATGCCAATCCAGCAGCATTCACTTGTATATAAATCATGTGGTAATTTATTCATTAAAATACCCTCTACTTGGCAACATTTTTTAACCTTGGTGTATATTAATGAGCTGTGTACTTGTGTTTCTATCTATCTCTGTATAATGGTCCTGTGATTCTGATGTTCTTCCCACATTGACTAAGCCATTACCAATCCCCAAACTGCATCCTCCACCTGCTGAAACTAAGTTCACTTTAGAGTGTTTAGAAGCATTGGGAAGCCCAGGCTATGACAGCACCTGCTTTTACACCTACATCTGCATCAGAATCGCCTACAGGGTTTCAATACATGTGATAAGTTATTCCTATGTGCCTTTGCCATCTACCCAAACAAATCTCTACAGAAAAAGATATCCCTAAAAAAATAATAGGGGTTTTAGCTACTGTGTCACAAATCAGCACTGACACTGGTGGCTGAACAGTGTCTACCCTCCACGACTTCACAGCAAATGTTGGAAAATCCATTAAGTGATCCACCAAGTCCCAGAACAGACTTGTTACATGCTGACATTCTATATTTACAATGTTTGGATAGCCATTTTAATTCCTTGCTAATTAGGAAAAACCCTATGAACATATATAGAGATGTATGTGGCCCCTTGGGGACAAGTGAAGATCTTATCTTCTAGTTGACAGAGACACATAATAAACAGAAAAAAGTAAAACTAAAAGTAGAAATTGTTTCCAAAGGACGGAAGAGGCAAATCAAATACATGACTAATATCTGTCTATCTTATTTGACACCCAAGGCAGATGTTGCTAATCAAGACAAGCACCTTTCCTTGTTACAGCTAAAGTGCTTCAGAAACAGCCACTCTAGCGTATTGGAACCACCTGATCAGCTCGCAAATGCATGAAGTATATTTCCCCTTCCATTGCTATAGTTAGTATGTAAACTGGAATGACTTACATTCTTTTCTAATCTACTCTATCATAGGCAATGTTTAATACAGCACATGCAGACACTGGAAGGTTCTCATGTGGACAAGACCCTAGATTAGAGCTGTGCAGCCTTTGATGGTTCATATCATGCTGATGTGACATTTATGTCTTTGGGTGGAATTATGAAGTCATCCAACTTTTAAAATGTTCACGAGATACAAGTCATATGCATATCATTTAAGCCAACCTAGTTTTTGTTGAGGTTGACTAAAAATTCCACTTTGAATATATGTTCTTTAGAGAAAACACTTGAGTTCAAAAGTGTGCTAAATGCAAAGGCATCGTGGTTTTCATATGTGTACATGTTAGTGTTCACGAATATGTATATACATATGCAAGAAGAGGTTGACATTGGGTATATTTCTCCATCACTTTTCATATTGTTCTTTGAGATAGGGTCTTGGTGACTATACAGCTCACTGATTTGGCTAGACTGGATTCCAATGAGCTCCAGAAATCTTCCCATCTATTTCATGACCATTTTGCTCCTAGTGCTGGGGTTACAGACATGCATGTATTGCCACTCCAAGTTTTTCATAGGGTGCTAGGGTTCTAACAAACTCAAGTTCTCATGCTTGGAGTGGAAGCCATTTATCCATTAGGCCATCTCCCCAGCTGCCTAAGATAGCACATCCATCTCAAAACTCATATGTCACTCTGCTTAATTTCTACTAGGGACACTTTACACTCAGTATCATGTCTTCACTTAGATATTAAGTGTCCTGGTAAACATGACAGCAAAAATCACATGCAAACATAGTTTGCTATTCGGTTTCATTAGTTAAAAATCATTATAATTCATTTATTTTACCCCAATCATCCGTCACTCTAAGCTTGTTAGCTTCTACTTCCACTTCACAAGCTCTACTGGATAGAATATAATGTCTGGCACGACATCTAGTTAATTGAGTTGATTTCATCACCATGACAGGGCCTGTGATCAAATAATAAGGTCACAAAGGACAGACTCACCTCATCATAGATGCTGTCATTTCTGTGGAAGTCCCCTGCCTTCCTGGGAAGAATGTGGACATGTACATGCTGAAATTATAAAAGAAAGAAGAAACGTGTTTAATTCACCTTCTATCTTTTGACTTGACAGTGCAGCTTTTCTGAAGGCTGATTACTCTCCACTGGTTCCTGCTGTATTATCTTCAGAGGAAGATGATGTCCACCTTCAGAAACAATATTTGAAATCTGCTGAGAGTAAAGAAGCATAAAACAAGAGGGACACTGGTGGCATATGAGAGTTTGAGGGAAATGTCAGAGAACATTATTCATCACTGTCAGTCTGGGTTGTAGTTAGCCAGTGCTTTGAAATGACAGTACATCTTAAGAAATGGCTGTTGTGACTCTGAAACTGACAAGAGATAAAAATTAGCCAACAGAGAATAAGTAACTGGTGAATTAGTGAAAGGACGTAGTATGGGCCAAATCAAGAACAATGGCTTTGAATAATAATTATATAACTATAGGACAGACAGTTCTTATTCACTCTTATTTACTGTGACAACCAGAGCTTGTATTAGTACTGGTCAGTATTTTGTTTAGTATTCCCACCATTCCTTTACAAAATGATCTTCATTTTACAGAAGAAGTCAGTATTCAGAGAGGTCAGAGGTCCAGCTCCATAGAAAGTAATTGAGTCCTCAAAGGAAATGATGTCACATGACTCTTATCTTCTTGTTCCTTATCAGCATACACATTAATTCTGTGAACTTAATTTTTTTAATTTAAATTAAATTTAGTGTGTGTGCATGTGCGTGCGCATGCATGCATGTGTGTGTGTGTGTGTGTGTGTGTGTGTGTGTGCGTGTAGGTCACATGTGAAGGTCAGAGGACAATACGAAGCAGGTTCTGTCCTTCTACTTTCTGCATTTTGGGAATTGAACTCAGGTAGCCAGTCTTGTTAGCAAGTCCCTTTACCTGATAGCCATCTGACTGGTTTTTATTTTACTCTTTTAAATTCCTCATTTTCCTGGTCTAGTCTATTAAAGCACCAAGGTAATAATAAACACAGCACTCTTATTAATCAGAGGTCATGAATCAAGGATCACAGCATCTCTAATTTAATATATATTCTTCAAGGCTAAAGTGCTATTTGAAAGTTTCACTCTACCAATGGCATCTATTGTAATTCTCTCTAAACATAAACCTTATCCATGCCCTTGAGCTATAATCCTGCATTTGCTATTAATTGCAGACAATGGGAAATGGAAAAGCCAAAGTATGAAAAGACAGGCAAATAATCAAAGCATATGCCCTATCAACTCCACCATATCTTGATTCTTGAGGTTGGGCTACAGCCGTGGACCTCCAGTAAACAGTGCATGAAATGTCTGGGTGTCTTTGTGTACAAAGAAGGGAGAATGAGAAGCTATTTCAGAAGAGGCAGCGAGCTAGGCTGTCCAAGGTGAATGAAAACAAAGAGGAGTTTCATATCAGCTCCTGAGTACAAAGTCCCCAAATAGTAACATATTACTGCCACAATATCCTCTAGTCAATGATAAAGGCAATCTCAAACCCTTCAGCATCAGGGACATAGGCATACTTAAGTCTCAGACTATGAGAGCAAAGACAGAGATTCAGAAGGAAACAGACATGGGAAAGTAAGTTACAAACTATCCAGGAACCAAATTCTTTAGTGTGTGTGTGTGTGTGTGTGTGTGTGTAAGTAAAATAATTTATTTAACTTTATGTGCATTGGTCTGAAGGTATCAGATCCCCTATAACTGGAGTTACACATAGTTGTGAGCTGCCATGTGGGTCATGTGGGTGCTGGGAATTGAACCCAGGTTCTCTGGAAGAAATGCCAGTGCTACTAATCACTGAGTCATCTCTCCAGCCCTAGGAACTGAATTCTTAAAAGATAGCTCTACTACATGGGCCCAAGAAGAAACTAACCATGCTCAGTATCTGAATGATTCAGACATCAGATAAGACAAGGAGGGGAAATGGCTGGTACAGGATGAGAGCCCAACCAGGCTTCACTTGTAAATCCTGATAGAATTCTTTCCTCTTCTCCTTCCCCATCAAGACACCTTTTCTCTTTCTTCCTTGCTGTCATCTACCTACTCTCCAACCCATTTCTTACATAGAAGTCATCATAATTCTCAGATTAGTGTTCTATACTCAAACTGCCAGAGAACACAGAATATAATAGTAATGGCTTTTAACCAGAGTACAGTATGCACTATATAGTTGGACTTCCTATGTACTAGTTGTGTTACCTTGCAACAGCAGGCCTGTGGCTCAGCATCTTTCTCTGTACTACAATATTCTCACCTTATAGGCCTAAAGCAGCAAGTCTGCTAAGCACATGGCTGCCATATGTCTGTAGTGCTACCTAGCACAGTGTTCTCAATATATGCAGATGCAATGGGGGTTTCTTTACTGTTAAAAATGCAATCTGAGGACCAGAGGTCACATTCAGTGACTGGTTTTTATGTTACCAAGGATGTTATTTCAAAAGTTCCTTAAGTGGTGAGTGGGGCACTATTAAAGCATCTCCTGCAGAAATTGTTTCTGTTGCCTTGATTAGTGTTTCCCAAACAGCAATAAATAGCTATGTATTGCTCAAATTAAGGGACTTCAAATTTACCTTCTAATAATTCCCCAAGGGACACTGATCAAGGGTCACACTTTGGGAGCCACTGACTAAGCCCATCTCTTTTGTTCTTAGGTCTACTTTTGTGAAATGCACAGAGGTAACACTTTGTTTGCCCTGCCGTTCTGTGCTGTGTGGAAACCTATCTTCATGTGATGGCTGCCCAGGCTTTCAGCACCTAGATCATCCTCTCTGTCTGTCCTCAAGGCTAGGCCAGACTCCTGGGTCTGGACCTGTCTCTGATTCCCTTTGTATACCTTCCTCCTCTAGGCTCACTCATCAGAGCTATACATATATATGTATATATACATATATACATATAATATATATACATATATATAATATAATGATAGCATATATATAATATTGATAGCATTCAGTCCTGGAAACACTGCTTTCCATTACTAGCAACTATTCAAAACTTGCCATGATACCAAATACAGTAAACATTTCACTGTCTAGGTGATTTTTCCCTAAAGGCATGACCTCACATCCTCCTGATACATGATATACTGACACAAATTCTTAAATGACAGCCTAAGACAGCCTAATCACAAGATTCTGACAGCTACTCAGCTGCTCAGGACAGAGAAATCATGACAATACCAGCTCAGAGACTTCTAAGGAAGAGAAGTAGGACTCAACTTACAAACACTGTTGCAGGTTATACCCTGCTCAAACGCCCCCTTGGGGGAGGGATGAGAAGGTGCAGCACCAATGACCCAGGCTCTGGGAGTCAGTGAGCAGCAGAGTTTGCTGCAGACTGGTTTATTAAGGAAGTTAGACCTGTGTTTATAACCCTTCTCAAGGTCCTATTGGCTGAGATGGCTGAGTCTGCTGGGTTGTCATTTCCTCATTGGTGTCTCTGGTCAGATGTCACTTCATCAGCCCGCTCTGGGCTTAGAAGCAGGCTTGGCTCAGTGAGGAAGTACCTGCCAAGCAGTCTCATCTCATGCAGGCTGAGGCACCTGGGAAGGATGGCTTTGGGTTGGGTAGGCTGGCTGCAGTTTCTCCTACACAACACAGTAAGTATATAAACCAAGAGGTGACAACTTCCAGAGGCCCAGAGAAGGGAGAATTTTAAGAAATTCATCACTGGTGAATGCTTGAGTTGGTCTCAGTGAGTCTGGGAAGATAACCTGCAAAGCCCATGCATAGATGCTCAGTGCCATTAGTCATTAGTGAAACGCCAATCAAAACCGCACAGCCATATCCACCAAGCCGTCTGTAATCAAAAGACAGTGCAAGTGTGGGTGAGACTGCGAGACATGGAAGCCACAAACACTTCTGCACAGAGTGCAAAATGATGCAGCTGTATGTTTGAAAAACAGTTTGGCAATTCCTCAAAATATGAAACATACAGCCACCAAATGACCCAAAATTATATCCCCAGTATATACTCAGGATAACTGAAACCATGTATGCACAAAACCTCGTGATGCATATTTATAGCAATATTATTCACAATCATCAAAAAGTGGAAACAATCCAAAATGACTACCAACCATGAATGCCCCAATAACAAGACAACGGAAGATGTTTGGGCTTAAAAAGGAAGGAAGCATTATGCTAACTGAAAGGACTCAGATACGGATGGCCAGATATTACACTATTCCATTTATGAAATGCCCAGACTAGGCAAATTCACAGGGAGAGATCAGTGTTTCTTGTGGCATAGTGAAGAGTGGCTGCCAATGGAAACGGAATATTTGGGGATGATAGATGACTTCTCTTCTGGTATCATAGAGTGAGTATGGTCTCACAAGTATTTGAATACATTAAAACCCACTGAAGTTTTTACCTTAACAGTGTGAAGTGTATGGATTTGAGCTCATTAGAGGTGTTGATGGAATGGGAGGAGTAGAGATATAGCTGTAGGAGTACCACCTTTTCTGCCCTGACTCTTCCCGCCTGAACTGTTTCTTCCACTTTTTTTTTTTTTTTAACACATGTATCCATCACCAGAGGATGGTGCTGTCAAAATGAAGTGCTTTTTCCTTATTAGACTGTTTCATAGTTCAATTGCAGGAAATAAAATAATGGCAGGAAAAGGTATAAAAGGCTTTAGGCTAGCCTCTTTATAACTGGATTATCTATGCACCCAGTCACATGAACCTATGTGAACCCCTCTCAGACCACTTCTTGTCACCTCTGAGTCAAGATGTAATGTCTCTCAGCTTCAGCACCAGGTCTGCCTATATGCTGTCATGTCTCACCATGATGACAACAGACTGAACCTCTGAAGATGTAAGCTGCCCAAATTAAATGTTTTTCCTTTAGAAAAGTTGCCATGGGCTGGAGAGATGCCTCCTCTGTCAAAGGCTAGGCTCACAACCAAAAATATAGGAGTTGCCATGATCAGCTGTGTGGTGGTGGTGCACACTTTTAATCCCAGAACTCAGGACGCTCAGACAGGTAGATTCTATGTGAGTTT